TACGCCGTCCTCCTGGCTTCACTGGGTCGTTTCCTGAGGGTACCCAGTGGAGCCTCCGACGGCCAGTCTACGGTCTCCGCCAGGCACCTCGTGAGTGGCACGACACACTGAGGGCGACACTTGCGGCTCTTGGGTTTGCTCCTTCGACTGCTGACCCGTCGCTGTTTTTGCGCACCGACACTTCGCTGCCGCCGTTCTACATCCTCTTGTACGTCGGCGACATGGTCTTTGCCACTGCTGACACTGAGGCACTGGCCCTTGTGAAGTCGGAGCTGCAGAAGAGACGCACGTGCACAGACTTGGGTGAGCTGCGCAGCTATCTTGGCTTGCAGATCACCCGGGACAGAGCACGGCGCACCATCACCTTGACTCAGTCACACATGGTGCACCAGGTCCTTCAGCGCTTCGGCTTCCGGTTCTCCTCGCCACAGTCCACTCCTCTGCCTACCGGTCACTCGCTTTCAGCTCCACCTTCGGACGAGTCCGTAGAGTCGAGTGGCCCGTATCCAGAGCTTGTGGACTGCCTCATGTACCTGATGACCTGCACTCGACTTGACCTTGTGTACCCTCTTAGCATCCTGGCACGCTACGTTGCGCCCGGGAGACACCGACCAGAGCACTGGGAGGCCGCTAAGACAGTGTTGCGCTACTTGTGCAGTACGTCGGGTATGGGGCTCGTGCCTTGAGGACGGGGTCCAGTTGTCCTCACTGGACACTCAGACGCGTCTTGGGTTGACGACCTGGCTACACAGCGGTCGTCACAGGGTTACACTTTCAGCCTTGGCTCTGGCTCTGTTTCTTGGCGGTCCACCCGCTCGTCTTCTGTTCTCAGCTCCAGTTGTGAGGCTGAGATCTACGCAAGAGCCATGGCTGCACAGGAGCTACGCTGGCTCACCTACCTGCTGACCGACTTGGGAGAGAGGCCTCGTTCTCCTCCAGTTCTGTACGTAGACAAGAAGGCAGCGATTGCCTTGTGTCGGGAGCACAGACTGGAGCACAGAGTGAAGCGCATTGCTCTGCGTTACTTCCTTGCTCGAGAGTTGCAGCAGCGTGGTCAGCTTCGTCTTGCTTACGTGGCCACTCGGGCCAACACTGCTGATATATTCACCAAGGCACTTCAACCTGGAGATCATCAGGGTTTCTGTACAGCTCTAGGCCTTGTGCCTGCTTTGTCTCACTTGCTCATTACGTGACTTTGATTGTACCATGTTCTGTATATACATATATCTGCATACTTACGCTTGCTAGGTTGTGATCACTGTACTGTTTGTTCCCTTCTATATTACTCTGCATGTGAACTGGCCTTGTGGCCATTTGCTTGTGCTCGGACTGTGTGGTGACTTCGTGATCCACCCTGAGCTTGCTTTGCTTTTCTTGACTGGTCTTGTGACCACTTGTTCTCCCCCACTTTGCCTATGGGGGTGTGTCAAAACATTATGTTGTGTAGGCTGTAGTGGGGTAGCCTATAAGGGGTACAACCCAATTAGGGTTAGTACTTGTACTCACTTTGATCTCAGTGCATTCATTCTCGTTCTAGATTCTGACATCTTGTTGTCGCTTTTGTCAACCGCTTCGCTGTAGCTCGGTTGACTCTGCGTTGCTTCGTCGTGGGTCTGCTTCGTTCTTGTTATGTTTCCAACACTCCCCTTTGCTTCTGGAGTGTCGTCACTTTCGACGCTGGTGACGTGGCCTTGTCCAGTCAGCAACATGCACTATTCGAACTTCTGCTTTCCAAGTTTCTTGGTCAAGTAATCTGCTGCCATCTCGGATGTGGGGCAGTAGGATAGCTCGAGTCTTCCTTTCTCGATCTCGTCTTTCACGAAGAAATATCGCACGGCAATGTGTTTCATTCGGTTCGCGAACCCATTCTTGTTCGCTATGCGAATTGCCGATTGGTTGTCGCAGAAGAGGGAGAAGCTGGGTAACTGGGCCAGCTTTGCTTCTTCCAGTAGTTCGCGAAGGTACAGTCCTTGGCTGTGCAGAGTGCAATGTATTCTGCTTCGGCAGAAGAGAGAGCAATTAGCTCTTGCTTGCTCGACTGCCACGAGATAGGACCGACGGGCTCAAGTCGATATACGTAGCCGGTGCGCGATCGTCTGTTGTCGGGGTCGCCTGCGTGGTTGGCATCCACATTGCCGATTAGCTTTGGATTCGTGGTTGCAGTTTTGTGGTAGGTTAGGCCGATTGCTGGTGTGCTTATGAGGTAGTGCAGTGCGCAATCGAGTTCCGCCATATGTTTTGCTTCAGGCCTTTTGAGGTAGGTAGCGAGTTGGCTCGCCGAGTATGACAGATCCGGTCGGCAAGTGACGGCTGTGATAATTAAGCACCCTAGTTTCCGCTTGTAGTCACGTAGGCCGGCGGATCACAGCGGATTAGATTCTCCTTGGCGGTTTCCCGTGGTGTAGCGATAGGGCGTGGAGATGGCAGCTGGCATTAGTCCGAAGCGTTTGGCGATAGTGTCGGCGTATTTTGCGGCGCTGAGGTAGATCGCGCTCTCTCCGTCGAGTATGTTAAGCCCCAGATGTTGGGTCACGGTAGGGGAGGCTGTGAGCGAGAGATCCTGCTACAGCTCCCCTTCGAACGAGGTGGTGATGCCATCGGTGGAGCCTATATAGAGCAGGTCGTCTACGTAGACAATGAGCAGGATGTAATCCGCCGCCTTTGTGAGTCCGTACATCCCTTGATCATGCGGTAGTTGTTGGAAGCTGATGCAAATTAGTCGGATGTGCAGGTATTGTTGCCACAGTCGCGGAGCTTGTTTGATTTCGCACAACGACTTCAGTAGCTGACAGACTTGGTTAGGGTCTTTGATGAACCAGTGCGGTTGCTCGACGAAAATTTCAGCATCAACGGGGGCGTAGAGGGATGCGTTGGCTACGTCAATTTGGCGAAGCTTCTTGCGTTTCATGGCGGCTACTGCGAGGAGAATTTGGTGGTCGGTTGGTCGGGTTTGGTGTTCTAAAGTGTAGATAAGGGAGGGTGGGGATCGATTGACTGTTTATAACAACGACAATGATTGGTTGTTAAAATTTGTTTGGCTCAAACGTCAAACTGTACAAGAGGTTTTGGTTCAGATTATACCCAAAACGAAAGCGTAGTAGCCACATGTACAACCTCGCTGGATTTCGTGGAATCATTTTCTTTCGTTAAAATTGTTGTTTCCATCTCAAACTCATTGTCACTGTGCGTAACCGCTTCTAACCGCGCGAAACTGTAGACGCGACATTCAAGTCACTTTCGAGTGACTTTTTTGTGAGGACAAACTGACGTCACCACTGTCGCCCAGGTACCCAAATGGGTGTGCAGTTTTTCGGCAACCCCTCGCAGTTTTCCGGCAACATTTTCGTAGAAAAACCTTTGGACCCCCAATTTCGACATTTTCCTTTTCCGCAATGAGAGAACTGTGGCCGCTGCCCGGACGAGTAGGCACCATGGAGCGATGAGGCTGGATGGATGATTGAGTGGGAAAAAGGCAGTCGCGGGTTCAACCGCGGTGTTTAGATGTCGAGAAGCAACACGTTGAATGGTTAAGGTTAAGGATATATTAAGGCCGTAACCATGTACATCAAGGCATAGAGCAACTGGAAATATGGTCTACACAAACCAAAGGCCCAAAGGCGTACGTAGGAAACATGTTTCCTTATCAATTGATAGCCTCGAGCAAGACTGGGGAGCGATCTATGCTAAAAAATGAGAAGGGCCTAGGGGGGACGAAAGGGGTCTCCGAGCAAAGATCTGGGTGGATAGAAGGGTTGCCGTCATGATAAAAAACGAAGAAGCGTAGTTGGGTGGCCAGCTTAAGACGAGAGGTTGATCGTTGCTGCTTCTCAACTGATTGCTTCTTCCTGCGCCAGAGGAAGAGTTTGAAATCTAGGAGGAGCTATGCCAGGATGAATTGGAAAGTATCGAAACGGGAGGAGGGTGAGTCGTGGAATTTATGATCACAGCGTGCATTCCAAATAGCCTTTGCAGAGGCACCTACTAGAAGGCTCCAGGGAGCCACCTGGCCAGCCCTCGAGGCGACCGGAAAGAGCAAGAGCTCAAGAGGAGGAGAGCAGTGGTGGCGGTGAGCGACAGATGAGAGGGCGGAAATCACCGCAGGAGCCACCCCACATTCGTAGAAGGTGTGGGAAATAGTCTAAGTAGGAGCAGAAGGACAGACTAAGCATGTCCCTCGATCAGCAGCAAATGGGAAACGAGAGCCCGAGGGAAGAGCACGAGTGTAGAATCGGTACAGGATGTCGCGTTATAGGCTGGGTTGTTCTCGTAAAAAAATCATGACAGTGGTTCGGGAAGAGAGGAGGAGAGGGGAGGGCGCGGATCCAACGAACGTCATGGTCAAAGGGCAGCTGGGTGTAGAGGCGACGGCGAAGGTCAGCTACACTGGGGCACCCGTCTTGTAAGATGTCGAGCCGCGCGTCGAGACCTGCACCTGCATAATACGGACATGCAAGCCAGGATGTGACGACGTAGACCGCAGTGAGGTCACCTATGTGGAAGGTGCCAGCTCCGATGGATGAACGGACAATGAGTCCGTTAGGGAGGACACGGTGGAAGGTGGCAGAGCGTGAGAATGGGGGGGGAAATGAGGTCACCTGGAGAGCGAGTGTAGGGGAAAAGTCAGAGTCTTGCGTGGGGAGGAACCGCTCCCACGGGCTGCAATAGGGGGAGGGGGGGAGCGAAGAGCCACCCACCAGGTCTTGGGAACGGCATGGATAAGGACCCGCTAGGCTCTTCGTCTAGAGGAGGTGTTGGCGGGGGAGCACGAGGATATGAAATCCTTGAAAGAGACCAGACCAAGTGAGTAGAAAATGATTGATACCAAATTGCCGACACGAACTTGCGAGGATAGGAGGAAACGTTCACGTGAAAGAATTCCAAATGGCTTCCCTTTCAGTTTAAGAATGAATCGGTTGAAGGTAGTGAGTTCGGCCATTATGCACATTGGGTTAAGGCGAGGAGGGGAAATGCCCAGAGAAATGTCGATTAGTGCCTGAACTTCAGCAGCCGGTGGTTCTCGCCACCTCCTCTGACGGTGAAGCACCAAAATGGCGCAACGCATGCTGGGTGGCAAGGGCACGAATTTGAGTGGAGGGGGCAATTGCCCCAAGCCCACCGTGATGAATAGAGTTGTACAGGAGGCAGTTGGGGATGAGGCGTACCCCAAGGTCGTATTCCTTGAATCTTGAAGAGGAGAGGAAGTTCCCGACCGTGACGTCGAGCCATTTTATAATGTCGGGGGTGGGGGGTTGAAACCGACCAGGGAAGGAGAGGATGGAATTAAGGAACACCGATGCAAGTGTCTTGTGGCAGGTGGTGGTAGCACGTAGGGCTGCAAGGAACTTAGCCATACGTTGGAGCGTGTTTCCAGCCACACCATTCGGAGTAGGCGCGCTCGGACCAGCCGCTGCAGCACCAGGACCAGCCGCTGCACCACCAGGACCAGCCGTTGCAGCACCATGACCAGCCGCTGCAGCACCATGACCAGCCGCTGCAGCACCAGGACCAGCCACTGCAGCACCAGGACCAGCCGCTGCAGCACCATGACCAGCCGCTGCAGCACCATGACCAGCCGCTGCAGCACCATGACCAGCCGCTGCAACACCAGGACCAGTCGCTGCAGCACCAGGACCAGCCACTGCAGCACCGGGACCAGCCGCTGCAGCACCAGGACCAATCGCTGCAGCACCAGGACTAGTCGCTGCAGCACCATGCCCAGTCGCTGGCATACCATCGTCATCAGCATCCCCTGAGGAGTTGGCAGGGTTGTTCGCCTCGTCTGGACCGTCTGCGCTGGTATGGTTAGCAACACCGTGCGACAGGCGACGGTTCTCATTTTCAGCTTCCATAAGGCGGCGGCGCAGCTCGCGAGCCTCAGCCTGAGCAGCATCGAACTCTTCTCGGGATAAAAGGTCCACTCCTTGTCCCCCTTTCTCATCAGCATCACCATAATCATCTAGCCCCTCGTAACCAGGCTCAGGTGCCTGAGGTTCCATCTATGGGAAAGCTTCAGGGTCTAGGGGCTGCATATAGTCTGTCGGCGTGCCATCATCCCCAAACCCAGTAGCAGGGGTATGCAGACCCTCGGTATGCATCGGTTCCTGCTGCTGCTGCTGCTATGCTGCCCATACGGTGAGGCATGCAGGTCCGTGGCGGGCTGCTGCTGCTGCTGCTGCTGCCCATACGGAGGCATGCAGATCCGTGGCGGGATGCTGCAGCTGCTGCTGCCCATACGGTGAGGCATGCAGATACATGTTGGGCTGCTGCTGCTGCTGCTGCTGCTGCTGCTGCTGCTACAGCTGCTGCAGCTGCTGCTGCTGCATTCCAGTGGTTCGCATTGCATGAGGAGAGTTCCGCAGCTGCTGCTGCTGCTGCTGCCCATACGGTGAGGTAGACAGACCCATGGTGGTCTTCATCTGCTGCTGCTGCAGTCCAATGGTTTGCGTGGTGCGAGGAGGGTTGGTCAGTAGCTGCTGCTGCTGCTGCTGCTTCTGCTGCTGCTGGTGCTGCTGCTGCTGCTGCTGCTGCTGCTGCCCATCAGTCGAGGAATGCACACCCATGGTGGTCTGCAGCTTTTGCTGCTGCTGCTGCTGTCCAATGGTTAGGGTGACGCGAGGAGAGTTGGGCAGCTGCTGCTGCTGCAGTCCAAAGGTTGGCGTGGCATGAGGAGAGTTCCGCTGCTGCTGCTGTGCTGCCCATACGGTGAGGGCAGACCCGTGGTGCTCTGCACCTGCTGCTAATGTTGTCCAGTGGTTGGCATGGCGCCAGCAGAGTTCCGCAGCTGCTGCTGTTGCTGTTCAGTTGTTGGCGTGGCGCGGGCAGAGCTGGGCCGCAGCTGCGTATGATTTGAGCCTCTGTGAACCGTCGAGCGGTGAGAACCCGTGCAGCGGCTCCTAGTCGTCCCACTTGAACTCGCCGGGTTGTCAAGTCCTCCCAGGTACAGCTGGTTGAGGGGAAGGGTTCTCTCGCTTGCACACATCAACACACACACATGGTTAGCATACTGCACCGTAGTTTATTGACGTACATCAGACCTTACTCTCGCGGACATCTAGTCACGAATACTAAATGAAAAGTTTAATATACTGCTTACCATTGCTGTTTGTTGTCGCCACTGTTGCATGCACCGCTTCTTCATGGTCCCCTTCTCCAAGAGCACGAACAGAGGCTAGAACGGATGAGAACCGGTTATTAGTGCCTCTACCAGGTCTATCAAACCGGCGCGGTTCTGTTGTCTCCATGGTGGATATATCACGACCTCTACTTCCCTTTTATTCTCGCTAAGCAGTCACCTACATCAATGTGGATAGATGTCATCAGGTCCACTGACATCGCGTCGCGTTGGGGGCCAAGCGAAAATTGACAGCAGAGTGGTTCTCTGCGGTACCGGTAGCGTTCGTGCTTCGGCTTGCAAACCTTCGCACTTTCAAATTTTGAAAACTGATCTTCTCCTCAATCACGCCCTCTATGGTTGTGTCTAGGGTTTGAGAGACGTGCGTGGGTAAATCGAGCGAAGGCGCATGATACCAGCAGAAGGGTCCAGGAAGGGGTAAAAACGATAGTCCATGATCTTACGTGTAGATCCCTTTAGATAGTGTCGCCAGCGTGGAGATGGTTTGACCCAGGTTAGCTTCCGATTGGCGAGAAACTGGCGCACCGCAGGGTCGATTTGCAGTCAAGTTACAAAAACGGGGGGGGGGGGGGGGGGGAAGGGGGAATCTCGTGGCGCAGGTTTAGGCCACCAAACAAGCACGACAGCAGCCACACAAGCCTCTCGCGAAAATAAGGCAAGGTCGTGACATGGTCCAGCTAGTTGGCCAAGTTCCCATTCAGCCGATACGTATCTGAGGGAGCGACGATTGCGTCATTCCAACAGGGCAAAGGGAACGACTCTGTATGGCGCAGACTCTGGGTAGGATTGCGTGGCGCATGGCGTGGCAGGGCTCGGCGCAGGGAGCCCACGCCAGCGGACTCCCCACCTCAAAGATAACGCCCGGGGCTTGCAGTGGGGCGGGGGTTGGTGCTCGCGTGCGGGACAAGGCGACGCGGTTCATCCGCTAGGCGACGGTGGAGAAATCAGGAGAGGAACTAACTGCAACAAGATGAGACACACCAGCTCCAAGTGTCGTGCGGAATGAAGCAATGAGCCTATATTCCGTTGCAACAGAACAGTGTTTGCTATCATATATTTCTAATTTACTAGTTTGATAAACACATCACACTATAGCAAAGATTGGTTTATGGTATGAGTACATTTAGTGTTTCCTATAAAGGTTTGCGCATGCGCATCAACCCAACAAGATGTGCATTATGTTGTTTGCTTGATCTCTTGCAGTTTGGGTGCTTTTGAACAATTGGCGTTAAAAAGGATGTGAACCCCAACAAAAGTGTATGTTTGGTTACCTATTATACGATCCTACATGCTGACATGGCATAGATAATCGGCCATATCCAGAATCTGATGGTAATACACGTCTACAACATAGTCTGAAAGTACGACATCATTGTTTGGTACGCTGATCAGCTGGTTTAGTGTGATGGGCAACATAAATCTATAGCAAACATTAATATAATGCAGTAATTCATGCACGAACCCTTGCAACATGTTATTACGGAGCTACCCTCCATGTACGATGCCATTTGAACAACGTATGAGGTTTCGTCGATGCGGAGAACAATGCTATACAGGAAACCGTGCAATGATATGCATAGTGCATTTGAGTGTTGTCGAAACACATCCTGATGCGTATCGCACATGTATTTCACTGTCAATCCCTTCAAAATGTTATCACAGGGCTATCATGCGGAGATAACTCTAGTAACGGGAGCTAGACTACGGGCTAGGCACGTGTGCTCGTGTGATCTCTGCGTTCCTCGGTCCTTAGCCGTTTTTCCTAGTGCACACACTGCTTGCTAGTTCATAAGGAAATTTGGCAAGAGTTTCACTAGAGAAAGTTGACAACAATGATACAATGAAGTTGGCTAGGAAAGACTACATCAGAGCTAGGATGCAAGCAGGTCGACTGCCAGCGCGGCACGGTCGACCGCGTGCCAGCACGACTTGGTCGACCGCGCTCCAGCAGTGCAGGGACGCGGCTTGCCAACGCTGCAGTTCGACGGCGTGACAACAGCGCAAGTCGACGGCGTGCCAGCGTTGCTCCTGCAGTCCAGCATCGCACCAGCTTCGCAGGTGCTCGTAGATGATTGGCGCGCACTGCTTCGTCACCTGCACAGCGTACGCACCAAGTCCACCTTGTGCTGACGACTGCATCTCATCTGCCAGGTCGACCTCGGGATACCACCACCGAGGTCGTCCTTGCCAACCTCGCCTGGGCGACCTTCGCGTGCCTTCGCAGACCCTCGTCACCCAGGTAACCTGGTCGACCGGGCAACCACGTCGACCAGGTGCTCCTGTGCGTGCCTGTCGACCTCCCAAGTCGACGGCCACCTCCAGTCGACCTCACCAAGTCGACCACGCCCTCTGGTCGACCAACTCCAGGTCGACGACACTCCTTGTCGACCACCTAAGTCGGCTACCCCAGGTCGGCGTCCCCCCAAGTCGACGCCCTCTGCAGGTCGACTTCTCAAGTCGACCACTTGAAGTTGGCGCCCTCCTGAAGTCGGCGCCCTTGCAGTGGCTCCCGTGCAGGTCGACCAACCCCGTCGACCGGCTCGCCCACTACTGCAGGTCGGCTGCACCCCTACACCCGACCAGGAAGTCGGCTCCGCCCAAGCGAGGACGCGGCCAACACCCAACTCCCGTTGACACTCCCCTGCCGCGTTCACGCTTGGGCCCCCCCAGCCCACACGACAGCACCTCTCGGAGAACAGCTCGTCGACGTGCACCCAACACACAGCACGTCATCCACCGCACCAGCCATGCAAAAGGGCATGGCACCTACTGCTGCACTTCGTCGTCGCCGTCGCCCACGTCGGCCAGACGCACTTGGCCGATTGCAACGGAGCACCGGTTGAAGGCCGGATAGTGCAGCGCCTTCGTGAGGAAGTCGGCCGGCTGCTCAGCGGTCGGGATGTACTGCAGCGCAAACTTCCCCCGCTTTACCATGTGCTGCAGCCAGGCCTGTCGCCGCTCCATGTGCTTGAGGTTGCCCGTCAACCCCATGCCTTCGGCGACTGTGATGGCCGACTTGTTGTCCACCCGAAGGACGGTCGGCTTCCCAGCATCCAGCTGCTGGAACTCTGCGAGGAGGAAGCGAAGTCGGCGTCCCTCCTTGCCGGCTTCGACGGCCGCCACGTACTCCGACTCGGTCGACGACAGCGTCGCGCACTTGATGCGCTGGCTCGACCAGGAGACCGCGGCCCCTCCGTAGACGAACACGTAGCCGCCCGTGCTCGTCCTGCTCTGCTTGTCACCGGCGTCGTCGGCGTCCACGTAGCCGACCAGCTCTAGCGACTCAGGTCCACCGCCAAACTCCAGGGCGGTGTCGCGCGTGTTGGCGAGGTAGGCGAGGCAGCGGTCGACCTCGCGCCAGTGCTGGTCGCTTCTCACCGTGAGGCCGCTCCCCAGCTTGCTGCAGGCGAAGGCGATGTCCGGCCTCGTCGTCGTCGCCGCGAACTGCAGCGAGCCGACCTTCTGCCGGTACTCCTCCTCCTGTCGCTCCTGCGCCTCCTCGTCATCGAAGGTGAGCTCGGCGTAGGCGTCGACCGAGACCGGCGTCTTCGGAGTCCGTCCGCCCTGCTCCTCGTCGATGAAGCGCCTACGTAGCTTGTCGGCGTAGCCCTGCTGGTGCAGCCACAGCTTCCCCGCCGACCTGTCGCGCGCGATCTCCAGCCCGAGGTACTTCTCCACCGGCGAGATCTCGCGCAACTCGAAGGCGGCCTCCAGCAG